GCCATTGTCAGCGTGTGGATTCTGACTCCTGAACGTAGTGGACTTCCTTTCAGTTCGATGCCAGAGTCTGCGTTAAACTTCAGTTTCGTCGGCTGTTTGATTTTTCAAGTTTTGATGTACTGTGGTCACGCGCACGAGTACATAATGCTGGACGGCCTAAAAATTAACATCTTGGTGCAGCTGCGCATGCACTTTCAATACTTAAGATTAAATGTCGAGGACATTTTGGCATACCATCCTTCAGAACTAGAAAGGGGCGAGGCATGGAATGTCTTCCAGAAACGGCTGAAGGAGTTAGTCACGTACCATTGCTCGCTAACAACGCTCGTGGAGATGGTGGAAGATGTATTTAACAAATGCGTTCTTTTTAGTTTCCTCACCTTGTCAGTCTTCTCGTGCTTTTCCCTGTATAGCATGTCAAGCGTGAGTTGCCTATGTCGTTAATTTTTCACTACCATATTTGGCTTAGATCGCCTTATTTGGACTGCAATTTTGGAAATTTGCCGGATTTATCCTTTTTCCCTGCATACTGTTCTTTGTAGACTGCTACTTTTCCGAAGAAGTACTGACAGAAAGCGCCGAGTTGTCTAATTCGTGTTACAACGTTGAGTTTAACGGCGCCGATGTAAGATTCCAGAAGGCCTTGCTGATGCTCATGCGAAGAAGTCAGAAGAGACTGATGTTTACGATTGGACAATTTGCTCCACTTTCGATTTTAACAACCGTCACCGTAAGTCACCTAGAAGTCGTCAGTTTCTTACGAATTCCATTCCAGATTATGAAGGCTGCTGTTTCGTACTTTATGTTGTTGCGGAATATGAAAAACCATTAATGCCACTATGTTACAGGTTACTACCAATAAGTAGTTCGTATCAAAGCTCAGACTCACCCCCCTCCTTTCCTCTAAGAGTAAGTACATATACTGCAAAATGACACGATCATGGAGTCGTCGCAAAAGTGATGTAAGCATGTGGGGTAGCATGCAGATTATTAAAATAAATGTTTCCACCACCAAAAATGGTTTAATTTCAATCGAATTCCTTTTTGTGCATGAACTCTCACTGTTGTACTAGGTTCCCTCACCCCTAGTGATGTCGATGGTTCCGACCCCTAGTCGAAGTTAAGAACCACTACACAAGCCTGTAGCTCATCGAGATCCTTCTCGATCTTTGAGGGCAATGGATCCTGCTGCTCCGGTGGAGCTCTCTCCTGTACCTGGCGCAGCCGGAGCACTCGCTTTCGTCACAAAAGTGACGTGTGTGAGACCAAAGAGTACCCATAATTACTCTTTGGTGAGACCCCCACGTGCGCTTAGAAGTTCCGCCGCTGGAGTGCCCGATAGGATGCCAGATGCGAGGAGATACTTACCGGGCTCCTTCCTACGGAAGGACGTCCACTCTCCAGATTCCAGCGGAACTCTACCAGTCAAAGAAAGGCTCCCCTCCATCTCGTCAACAACTGCATTCATAACTGCAGCAATAATGCACCTCAACTGAGGCTCTGTGATGCCTCTCAGCCCCGCCGCAGCGACGTGCCCAAAAGTTCGTGGTGTGTCCGCAAATCTGGGTGCTCTAGATCCTCTAGGCTTCTTCTCAGGTTGCCCTGAGCCGACCATAGCGTGCTTCATTCCGATCTAAGTATAAGGGGGGTTACCGGGTTCTCTTGTAATTCATTTAGGAACCAAATACTTCTTTACTGAGACCACAAAAAAAAACAATACATTTTAGAATAAGAAGAAAAGCAAACATTCCGCTGAGTCGCCACTACGAATACTCCTCTTTCATCACTCGTCGTCATAGCAGAAATCTTCTTCCCGCCGCTCCCTCCTCTCTCGAGCGGATCTCCGCAATTCCACCGCGGTATTTGTTACATAAGACGTTTGGTAAAAGACAGAAATGTTGTACGTAAGAAATGACAAGAACAAATCAATATATTACGCACACAACAAGACCATACCAGGAAAACCTTCTACGGGACAAAAACCACGGCATAGGCTACACAAATACATGAAATAAATCACCTACAGTAATAAAATGCAAGCGAACGTACACATAAATAAAACATCTCAAATTGTATGATAAAAATCAGATAATCAAATCAAATGCAATTAAACAAGTTCATAAAAACAAAATACACAAGACAACTAATGCACTGGAAAACCTGATAAACCAATTCAGTACAAAAACACATCTAAATACCTGTACGATCGAATGAGCCAACACAACTTGTAAAATAATAAATGTACAGAGTGTAAATCGAAAAGTGGAACATAGGCGTTTAACATGGGAAATTACTTTTTCTTTGCGCAAACGTTTCCTAATTATTTTATGCAAAAATACTTCAAATAAACCGATACAACGAAATATCGAAGGATCCTCAGTATTACAATAACTTTTAACGATAATTTATTTTAATGTTACAAAATACATCAAATTCATGTCTGGCCATTGAGATAATGCTCTTAATCTTGTTTTGATCAAAATCCATGTGGTCGCCAAAAATAGATCAAATTCATGTTTTGATCATTGAGATAATGCTCTTGGTTTTTTTCCCAACGTTCTTGGTGCATAAATAACGATTTTGACATGTTTTGATCAAAATTCATGTGGTCGCCAAAAATAGATCAAATTCATGTTTTGGTCATTGAGATGATGCTGTTAGTCTTTTTCCCAACGATCTTGGTGCATAAATAACGATTTTGACATGTTTTGATCAAAATCCATGTGGTCGCCAGAAATGCATCAAATTTATGTCTTGAGCATTGAGATAATGCCCCTAGTCTTTTTCTCGACGATCTTGGTGCATAAATAACGATTTTGATTATTTTGATCAAAACCCATAATATGGCAATAATTTAACATTTTTGAATCACACACATGCGGTTATCAAATGTGCACGTGATGTACTCTTGCTGCATCAAGATAATGCGTTTGAAACCTTTTAAAACTCTAAATTCATGTATAAAGTGTAATTTTTGCTACATTTTGCTCTAAAACTTTCGACCTATACCACAGAGAAGAGTTATATTAAAGTATTACACATCTAAGAGTCATAGGGAATAATCTAACGGAAGTCCCAACCCGATACATGACCTAGGGAATGAAATATGTTGATTTCTATTATATTGAGCCCGTAATTTTTCCTGTTCCCGATTCACTCGAAGTCCTATAACTTTTGTTCCTATTGAACCAGCTTCCTGAAAATCAATAGCGTCCGTCCTTAATGTCCAAAGAACCCGTACACCAAATTTCAACTCAATCGGCCACTTTTAAAAAGAGTTAGAGCGCACACGGACGGACGGACGGACGACAATACAAAACTATAAAGGATCTGAGGATCCTTAATAAAAGTTATAGAGATATAAATTCTGCATCTAAATCACGTGAAACGATTATTCTACCTCTTTTGTACACGAAAAAATTAATTATAAAGATTAAGATTATAAGATTTTCACGAGTTTGTAGTCTAAGTAGCCATGGACTATGATAAAAGAAAAACATTTTATTTGTTACTCAGTTGTAAACGTTGATTAACAAGACAAAACGCAAACGAGTAAACGTCATCTTTAAACGCTACTGACTTGTAAAACTGACAGCTGACGTGTAAAAATTTTACAAGTTAGTATCTAATCTAGTAATTTCATTGGCCAGATTTAATGCGAAGTCTCTGTTACATGGATAATATGATATTTTAGGCATTTCTTCGAGATCAATTTAAGAACTAATTATTTACGTTTACAAATGAGTAACAAATAAAATATTGTACTTGTACAATATACGCCAGGTAATAGTTTTTACTGGCTCTAGGAGATGACAGGCTCGCCTGACGGCTCGCCAGTCAACTTCTCCTATCGCCAGTAAAAACTCACTTACCTGGCTAATAATGTAAAATACTATAACACGAAAAGTACATGTGAGAATGCCAATAGCAAGTATTCATGTGAAAATCGATTATCGGTCAAGCAGAACATATTTTAAATAGTGGAAATGTTAATGAGAGGGCCCCTACTCCCATTACCAAGATGCTGAGAACTGCAATCCGCACGAGATCAGTAGACAACAGACACAGCGATAGATCGAACTGTATTAGGTACCTACTCCACGGAGACAGAACCCACTCGCACACACAAACATCGAAACATCAAATAAGAAACCCCCCCTTCGTATAGCAAACGCACAAGAACTGCAGCGCGCCACGAATAAGAAAGTAACAGATACAGCGAACAATCAAACTGTATTAGGTACTTCCCTCACGGAATAGTTACGAATCAATCGAACAGAGCAACATCGCACTGATAATCAACTCCTCGTGAATACATAAATAAATATTTAATAGAACAAAATAATGGCATAATCGCCGGTACAGTATAACAGACACGATTCATCTAACGGTACCCAAAAACAAAAGCATGGAGTACGCCATATTTAGATAACGCAGTTTATGCAAAATCAGCAAAATGTAAATAATATCAAATTGTGGCAAGAAATTCAATGATTAATAGCTAGTACAAGAAAGAATAAAATGGTTACTGTAGTAAAGTAGGTAGGTTACTGGCGCCCTCTAGTAGTAAGTAAGGTATGTAGTTTGATGATTAGTTGCTGTAGTTTTCCATATTATGACCATTATTAAATATTGTTCATTGAAGCATACTTATTGTTATTATTGCTATTAATGGGCTACCACCAGCAAGAAGCTACTATATTACAGTTACTACCTGTAAATACACCTTCAAAACACCACAACCAAAATAATCAAGAATAAAAACCGGGAACGCGTGATGCTTTCCGTCGATCCCGTCGCCATCTTCTTTCTTCTTCCACGCTCTTTTTTTTCCCTAGCTTCGTTACGAAAATCCCCTAGTATTCGGCATCTGCGCAAAACGGTCGATTGGTTATATACGGAGCATATCATATTTTTGTTTCAGATGTAAAGGTGTGTTACCTAACCATAAAGGTGGATTATCACAACCCTCTATATATTTTTTTTAATTTTTCCATCCCCTTCAACAGAAACGAGCTGAGGCTGATGGGTGTATACGCCTTGGGCGGATGGATTGAGCGTCCTGAGCATTTTGGTATAAACACCACTTTCACATCCTGCGACGTTCTTTTTTACTTTGCAACATGTTATTTATTGACAGCTCACACTGTAGTTTGCAAGAGTAATAAAAGCAATTTGACAACGTCGCATTAGGAATTGAACATGGCCGCAGAATTTACCAGTGTAGATATAAACAATTTGGATTTTATTTAAAAGTGTACCCACGTGATTTAGAAATTGTTTATACACGAAATTCAAAAATTGTACAACCCCCAAACTGGAGAATGAACAATCTCACTGAAACTAGCGGAAACGAAGAGACTGAGAAGCAGTACGCCTGCAAATTTTGCTCGAAAAAATACAAGTTGCCCACCCGACTGCATGCACATGAAAAATTGTGTCTTTCGCCAGCATCCCAGGTAACCACAGGTGGCTGTGGAATCGAATGCTATTTTGAAATTGCAGGAGAAATCGTGCAAGACGTGCGGGCAAAGTTTTAAACAACCGAAACGGCTGCAAAAGCACGAACTGATGCATACGCTCGATCACAAATTCTCGTGCAAGTTTTGCAGTTGGCATTTCTCAACGAAGCACGAGTTAAACGTCCATAAGGCAGATGAACACTCCGATAAGGTATGGTTCGTGCGATTTGTATAAATAGTTATGCGAAGTTTCAGGTGCAAAGGCGAAGGTGTAAACTGTGCCCCAATTCGGTCTTCAATACCAAAGAGGAATACTTTGTGCATGTGAACGAAGAGCATAAGGGACAGTCCAGCGACTACCACATGTGCA